AGAAATGCAAGGCTTTTTACATTTACAAATTAATGAAGATCTTGGGGTTGAGACTTCTGTTACAACATTCCTTTACTATTCTTCTGGAATAGCTCCTTGTAAAAGTCTGGATAGCAGCTAAATTTATGTCCGTTGGGGGCACCAGTTAGGCTGGCAGGCGGTCAGTGTACGTCTGAGAGTGGAAATTATGAAATTAGTGAGAGTGTCACTATGATTTGGTGTTACACCATCCCACATATGGCTGACCTTGAAAACTATTTATAAGGTAAATTCTTCACAATTGACAGAATTTCATGTAACACTCAATCATCCATTTTGTGTGGAAAGAGAAATAATGTAAAGTTAGAATATATATAAATCAAAGGAAGTGATAACTGGAAATGTTTCAGGTATCTAGAAGGAAAAAAAGGCTTTATAGAAAGAAATGTGGAACAGTGACACATTTATAGATGTATGAGCCTGGTATATGTACTGTTACCTTCTCTATATCACTGATAACTCCAACATGATAGTTTAAAATATAGAATAAGAATTGAATACCTCAAAAACATGACTTAGAGAGCAAATGTTGCCAAGTTTCAGTAATTTCTTCTCATCCTCCTACCTGTAATACAGGTGCAATGAGCATTTGAATGAAGTAATTTCAGTTGTAGGGATGGTAAATTTACACAGATTTAACATCATGCACTACAATACACAATCTATCATCTACAAGATACCAGTGCAGTGTCCCTAATAAAACAGCATTCTTTTTTAAAATGTCAACAAGTTAACTTGTTTTCACGTTGACTATATTAGAACCTTTCCATCATAAATGTAGCAATAATCTTGCTTTTATTAATTTTTACTTTAAACACATGTAAATTGTACATACTTCTGCAAGTGTTATGTGATTTTTTTTCTTTTTTTTTAATGAATATAAATTTCCAAAGTACAGCTTATGGATTACAATGGCTTCCCCCCACCATAACGTCCCTCCAACCTGCAACCCTCCCCTTATCCACTCCCTCGACCCTTCCATTCACACCAAGATTCATTTTCAATTCTCTTTATATACAGAAGATCAGTTTAGCATACATTAAGTAAAGATTTCAACAGTTTGCTCCCACACAGAAACATAAAGTGAAAAATACTGTTTGAGTACTAGTTATAGCATTAAATCTCAATGTACAGCACACTAAGGGCAAAGATCCTACATGAGGAGTAAGTGCACAGTGACTCCTGTTGTTGACTTAACAAATTGACACTCTTGTTTATGGCATCAGTAATCACCCTAGGCTCTTGTCATGAGCTGCCAAGGCTATGGAAGCCCCCTGAGTTCACTGACTCTGATCATATTTAGACAAGGCCATGGTCAAAGTGGAAGTTCTCTCCTCCCTTCAGAGAAAGGTACCTCCTTCTTTGATGACCCATTCTTTCCACTGGGATCTCACTCGTGGAGATCTTTCATGTAGGTTTTTTTTTTTTCCCCAGAGTGTCTTGGCTTTCCATGCCTAAAATACTCTCATGGGCATTTCAGCTGGATCCACATGCCTTAAGGGCTGATTATGAGGCCAAGTGCTGTTAGGACATTTGCCATTCTATGGGTCTGCTGTGTATCTCACTTCCCATGTTGGATCATTCTCTCCCTTTTTGATTCTATCAGCTAGTATTTTCAGACACTATTCTTGTTTATGTGATCCCTTTGGTTCTTAGTCCTATCATTACGATCAATTGTGAACAGAAATTGATCACTGGGACTAGTGAGATGGCATTGGTACATGCCACCTTGATGGGATTGAATTGGAATCCCCTGGTATGTTTCTAAATCTACTGTTTGAGGTAAGTCAGCTTGAGCATGTCCCGAATTGCACATCTCTTCCCTCTCTTATTCCCACTTTTAGATTTAACAGCAATCACTTTTTTAAAACACATGTAAATTGTACATACTTCTGCAAGTGTTATGTGATGTTTTAATACATGAATACATTGTGTAATTTCAATCAGGATAAATATATCTATCTCCTCCATTTCAATATTGTGAAAGCAACCAAAACCCTATATCCTAGGGTTTTTTTTAAATAAAAATGAAGTATATTACCTATAGTCACCCTACTGTGCAATAGAACCTCAGAACTTCCTACTCTTATCCAGTCATAACTTATGACTTGTCAGTGAGCCTTTCTCTATTCTTCTCTCCCTTTTTCCCTTCCAAGTCTCTGGTTGAGAACGTTATACTTTGAACTTCCATGACATAATCTTTTTTTTTCAGATTACATATATAATGATGTAATATAATACTACTACTATTATGCTTGGCATATTTCACTTAACATAATGACCTCCAGTTAAATACATGTTGTTTCAAATGACAAGATTTCATCTGTTTGTCACTGGGTAGTATTTCATGTGTATATTAACACATGTAATAACACTTCATGTGCTGAAAAGCAGAGATTGGGTTAAGGAATTAGGTTAAAATGACTTATTTGGGAGATGATTTCAGGAAGAATGTGTAAAGAAACAGGAAAAGTGAGAAATATAAGAAAAGAAATTATGGTCTTTTATTAGCCATGTTCTGTGTAATGAGAGCAAAGTACTCTCAGGACTTCCTTAAAAACACATGAGATATTTTCAAGTCAAGGAAGAGTGGCTGGAGATTGATTCACTCACTACTTACATCCATTGTTTGAGGGTTTCCCCTAGGGTTATTAAATCTCTTGTTTTTCTGAGAAACATTTGTCTATGTGCCAAATGGACCCCCATGGTGTCAAGCAAGGACTTTGAACAGAGTACGAAGATGTATACCATAGGTCTGAGGTAATCACAGTCAGTGTTATGTGAGATGAATCTAAGCTCATGTGGAACCATCCATTGTGGCTCTGCTGGAATCAGACCTAGGCTGAGAAGATGAGCTCACTATCACAGAATCACCTACTTTAGAAGGTGAGGTAGAAATGCTGTATTCCACATGTGTGACCACAGAAACTAGGCTTGCAACATGATCTGCAGAATGTGTTCTGAGAAGGAGGTAAGATAAGCTCAAAGAAAATCAAAGACAACTTACACTTGTAAGAAGAAGAAAATCTCATGAAAAAGAGAAATGAAGAGAATTCTTGTACTTTGTGCGGTGACAATCAGCTAAACTTAGATTCTGTCTTTTAACTAAATACTGTTTATAAATAGTAGATCCAAAGAAAAGCATCTATTTCAATGATTAGTAATGAAAAAGAAACTGGAAGAGATCAAATAGGTGGGTACCTAGATATATATAATTAGACAGGCACTACTATACAAATAAACTTAAGAAGAGAAATTTGAATAGACAAAGATAAGAAACTGAAAGGTAGTGGCTACCATAGAGATGAAAATTAAAGGATAGAATACAACAGTCAATTTTAGAGAGAGGAATGTCCACAAGACTGATGTTCTCAATGAAACCACTCTTTTATGCTAATAATAAAACTCAAATTGCTAACCACAGTGCTAATATTTATTTAAAAACTGTCCCGCAAACTGTTGAAATCCTTACTTAATGTATACTAAGCTGATCTTCTGTATATTAAGATAATCGAAAATGAATCTTGATGTGAATGGAAGGGGAGAGGGAGTGGGAAAGGGGAGGGTTGTGGGTGGGAGGGACGGTATGGGGGGGAAGCCATAGTAATCCATTATTCGTACTTTGGAAACGTATATTCATTAAATAAAAGTTAAAAAAAAAACTGAAAAAATTATACAAAAAATAAGCCAATAATGACACAGAATAGAGACAGAAAAAGCATAGATTTTATAAAATACATGAAATAATAAGGAAAATTTTGAAAAATATTCTAAATTATAAATCATGAGAAATCGGTGAATCCTAAGACCCTAATAATATGAAAAGCATTTATCTGGTGGTTGCTTATAGATAAATATTTATTTGAAAGTCAGAGAGGTCTCCATCCAATGGTTCACTTCCCAATTGGCCGCAATGGCCAGAGCTGCACCAATCCGAAGTCAGAAGCCAGGAGCTTCTTCCGGGTCTCCTACATGGGTGTAAGGGCCCAAAGACCCAGACAGATGTATTAGTTTTTAAGTTATTTTGCAGAGAAGATAATGTAGAGATGCAACACAACATTTTTTTTTTATTCATACTGTCTGCAAATCTTTGTGTATATAGTTTGGTGTTTTGCACCTAGAATAATCTATGGAACACTGTCATCATTATGATAATTATATCAAACATACATAAACCAAATGTTACATTCCAGGGATATGTTTTAACTTTTCCATTGTGCTTTTACATCCAGTCCCTCTGACAAGAATAGGTAAGGTCTATGATTTTTCCAAATACAAAAATTAAGGAAAATATTAAGATAAAAACAAAATTATTAAATACTTTTTAACACTACACAGTATAAAAATGATTGAAGAATTATTCAGGCCCAGCTTTCGATAGAGAAATTGAAATTGAGAAGAAGAGAAAGAAGAGAGAGAGGAAGAACATAAAAGGATAGGAGAGATGAAGTGGGAGAGAAAAACAGGTGAGAAGATAGATAAATAGAGAAGATAGATAAATAGAGAAGATAGAGAAAGGAAAGAAAGGGATGAGAGAAAGCTAATATGCACCAGTGTTTATATGTGTGTGTTTGTGTTTGTATGTATATATAAAAATGAGTGTAGTGAATTCAAAATCTTTAAGATAAAGGTGAAACAGTTTTAACATTTATCATAAGGATTTTTATGTGTGGTACTAAACTATATTTTGCATAATATTTGTCACGAAGTATCATAATCATAAGCAAAATATGTGAAATACATAAAGATGGAAAGGGAGAATTAATTATCATTGTAAAAGATTAAACCACTCGCTAAATCTTCTATTTTTCCCTAAGTTACTGCAGGAGAAAATTTTAGCCTTCGGTAGAAAAGAATCAAAGAAGTCACTGAGCTCTTCTTCCTGTGTCTCTACTAGAACCATCAAAGGCATTTGAGTAATTCTGAACTATTGCTCAAAAAAGGCAATTTTCCCAGAAGTTATGAACACAATTTGCAATAACAGTCACAGTGATTTCACCCTCCTTGGCTTCTCTGACAAGTCATATTTGGAGAAGATACTTTTGATCTTTTATTGCTTAACTCTTACAGGAAATATGCTCATAGTTCTTTTGTCCTTGAAAAATACAAAACTTCACATTCCTATGTGTTTCTTTCTTTCCAGTCTTTCTCTGTTAAATCTCTGTTTCACAAGCAGCTGTGTTCCACAAATGTTGATTAATTTCTGGGGTCCAGAGAAAACTATCAGCTACACTGGCTGTGCTATTCAACTATATATCTTCTTGTGCCTAGGAGCCACTGAATGTGTCCTTCTTGTCATCATGGCTGTGGACCGCTATGTAGCAGTATGTCATCCACTTCAGTATAGCACAATCATGCACCCAAAAGTTTGTCTACAGCTGGCTCTCCTGGCATGGGGGACTGGCCTGGTTCAGTCTCTGATCCAATCTGCTGCCACACTCCAGCTACCTTTCTGCTCTCACCACATGGTTGATGACATTGTGTGTGAAGTGCCAGAACTTAAGCAGCTGTCTAGTACAGACACTACCTACAATGAAATTCAGATGTCCATAGCTAGTGCTGTTCTCCTGGTGATGCCCTTGATCATTATCCTCTCCTCTTATGGTGCTATTGCTAAGGCTGTACTGCGGATAAAGTCAACTTCAAGGCAGAGAAAAGCATTTGGCACCTGCACTTCTCACCTTCTTGCGGTCTTGCTCTTTTATGGAACTGTCACAGCTGTCTACCTTCAACCCAAGAATCACTATGCTCATAAATGGGGCAAGTTTATCACCCTTTTCTACACTGTTATAACACCAACTCTTAACCCCCTCATCTATACTCTAAGGAACAAGGAGGTAAAGGGGGTACTAATAAGATTAAAGAGAAGGATCTGTGATTTCCAGAATAAGTTAGGAGGTTGACATATGTTTGCCTGTTGCTTAACTTGAGGATAGAGATCCATTTCATCACAAAAGTCTGGAGATTGATGTGTAACCCTAAAGTAGGAGAGAAAGGGCTGCATTTGTTCAAGCTGTGATTTCAGTTCCATTCATCAGTTATTGATAAGACCCTTAATTTCTCCCTAGTGCTGTTACTCTAAAAGTTTCTTATTTTGAACCTTGATACTCTGGGGACTCACTTATAGGAACAGGCTTCAAGTTCTTCTTCACCCTAGGTCCCCACTGTAATGAAATATGGTCTTTTATGAGATTACATTTGCATTAATTTGTCTTATTAACCATAATTTAACAATTATGCACCTAATTTGATCTAGTTGCTAAGGATATTATGATAGACAAAAACATACAAAATCATCGACATAATGGACATTATATCAAATTGTTGAGTTAGATAATAACCAAAATAACTTCTATTTGTTATCTTATTAGAGAGAACCTCGTTGCTCAACTCTTGCTTGAGCTTATTAATCATGATTCCTACTTTGTGATGTTGAATATCATGCACCAAAATATAATTTTGTCGCCTTCTAGCTATTTCTTATTAGTGTCTACTTCTTAGTTTAGCTGAAATCATGATTATAAATAGTGACTCTCCTGTGTAGATTTTTTGATACATGTTTCTCACTTTTTAGCTGCCTACCACGTACTTGTGCCTAAGTCATGTATATATGAATCTAGAATCAATCCCTATCTTTACTCATTTTTCTGTAATGAACTGTGCCAAATGTGCCACTCATTTCTAATTATGATAGTTCATGCTAAACTTTTTTATATGAAATTATTTGTTTATTTATTTATTCATTAAGAAATTTGTTAATACATTAGAAGTCACAGAAACACAAGAAATGCAAGATAATTACAGCAAAATTCTCATCAATTCTCTTGTTTATGTGGCATTAAAATACAGATTCAATGTAATTCATAGGAACAATGCCCTTTCTCCCTCTATCTCCCACCCTTCCTTTCCTCTCCCCTTCTTTATTTTTGTCTCTCTTTCTTTCTAACCTTAAATTTTTATTTTCCAAAAATTTCACTAAATTGAACATAAAATGTAGCACAACTACTATGAGGTATAAAACACACATATTTGTAAAATTATTTAGTTATGTTTCAGTTCAGTTGCAGGGGAAAAGATAGTAATGGAGGAGAGAATTAGGAGATGGGATTGTTTGTAGCATTTTAATTTAATAGATTTGGAGTAGCTCTGAGGAGTGACTAGTATGTTAATGAGGACATAGTAATGAGTATCTCAGAGTGAGAGGCGAACACTACCCCAGAGATGGATACAGTGATGCAATGTATTCAAAAACTTACCCTTATTTTGACATAGTCTTGAATAACACCCAGGGCTTTGTATAGAGGAAAACTATGAACCAAATGTCAAAATTTAAATGGATTAGATAGAGGAAAGTTATGATTGAAGTGAATGATAGTAGCAGGAAGAGAAGGAGGGGCCAGAGCTGTGGTATGGGTGAAGCTGTCGCCTGCAGTGCTGCATCCTATATGGGTGCCAGTTGGAGTCCCAGCTACTGCACTTCTTATCCAGCTCTCTTCTATGGCCTGGGAAAGCAGTGGAAGATAGCCCAAGTCCTTGAGTCCCTGCACCCACGTGGGAAGCCTGGAGGAAGCTCATGGATCTTGGTTTCAGATCAGTGCAGCTCTTGCTGCTCTGCTCAGCTGGGGAGTGAACCAGCAGATGGAAGACTTCTCTCTCTCCCTGCCTCTCCTTCTCTCTCTGTACAACTTTAACTTTTAAATAAACAAATAAATCTATTTTTTAAAAAAGCAGAAAAGGAGCTTGGGCTCACAAACGTGAGACTGCACAATAGTAACATGGTATAGCTGTACTAACTAAGATTAGTAGGTTTAATGGCCAAGATTTCTAACTTAAAACATGGGTTTGTGCTTTAAAAAGGGCATTTTAATTAACATGGAAAGGGATTCAATACAAGCTGACTGGAACCACACTGTGGCAAACACCAGTCTAGATAGTTGCTCAGCTAAAAATCACATAGGCTTCAAATTAATGAATATATTAGAAATAAGATTAGGGGCTAGTGCTATGGCACAGTGGGTTAATCCTCTGCTTGCAGCACCAGCATCCATATGGGCTCCAGTTCCAGTCCCTGCTGCTCCTCTTCTGATTCAGCTCTCTGATGTGGCCTGGGAAAGCAGTGTAAGATGGCCTTAGTGTTTGGACCCCTGCACCCACATGGGAAATCTGGAAGAAGTTCCTGGTTCCTGGCTTCGGATTGTCCCCGCCCCAGCCATTGCAGCTATTTGGAGAGTTAATCAGTATAAGAAAAACCTTTCTCTGTCTCTCCCTCTCACTGTCTACAACTCTACCCTGTAAATAAACTAATTAAATTAAACAAGTAAGATTGAAGGAAATAAGTCAAAATGTAGTAAAAATATTAGCTGAGGCCAGAGCCGAGGCTCACTAGGCCAGCGGTGCAGGCACACCGGGTTCTGGTCCCGGTTGGGGCGCCGGATTCTGTCCTGCTTACTCCTCTTCCAGTCCAGCTCTCTTCTGTGGCCCGGGAGTGCAGTGGAGGATGGCCCAAGTCCTTGGGCCCTGCACCTGCATGGGAGACCAGGAGGAAACACCTGGCTCCTGGCTTTAGATCGGCTCAGCGTGCCGGCCACAACGCGCCAGCTGTAGTGGCCACTAGGGGGGTGAACCAATGGAAAAAGGAAGACCTTTTTCTCTGTCTCTCTCTCTCTCTCTCTCTCTCTCTCTCTCTCACTGTTTAACTCTGCCTGTCAATATATATATATATATATATATATATATTAGCTGAATCATCAACTTTTTAGGTTTTGAAAATGGAATTATCTTAAGTAAGTTGTGTATGAAATTTTGTATTTAGGGGAGAGTCTCACTTCAATTAATGCCAGAAGAAGATACAAGTTTACATAAGTAATGAGCTATACAGATCTGGCTGAAAAGCCCAAGAGAGCATTTCAGGCATGGAAAACCAAGACATTGTGGCAAAAAATGATCTACACGAAGGATCTCTGCAAGTGAGATCCCAGTGGAAAGAAGGGGCCGTCAAAGAAGGACGTACTTTTCTCTGAAGGAAGGCGAGAATTTCCACTTTGCTTATGGCCCTGTCTAAATACTGATGGAGTTTGTAGACTCAAAATGCTTCCATAGCATTGGCAGCTCATGACAAGAGCCTTGAGTGATCATTGACATCATAAATAAGAGTGTTAATTGTTAAATCAATGTGCACTTGCTCCACATGTAAGACCTCTGTCCTTAATGAGTTATACTATGAGAATTAACAATAAAACTAGTTTTCAAACAGTATTTTATACTTTGTGTGTCTGTGTAGGTACAAACTTAAAATCTTTACTTATTATAGAGTTAATCTTCTGTATATAAATATAATTAAAAATTAATCTTAATGAAGAATGAGATGTGAGAGGGAGTAGGGGGTGGGATGGTTTGGGGGTGGGAGGGCAGGTATTGGGGGAAAAACTGCTATAATCTAAAAGTTGTACATATGAAATTTATATTTATTAAACAAAAGCTTTCAAAAAATAACTAATGAGTTACATATAATTATATATGTGAGTTTATTAATTATGGGGCAAAAAATTTCAATGATATAATGGAAAATTTTGGAAGAGATAAAGGAAGGTGAGTAAATAAAACAAAATTATTCCAATAAGGGAATAACAGGAGAAAAATATAGATGACCAAAAAAGTTTACATTTTGAGAATTGATTGAGAAAAATGTTAATGAGAGGAACTGTAGCTATGTGTGAGAGAACATCAAGTTTATGGAAAATGCAAATCAAACATGTTTACTTTGGTACAAAATAATTTTGAATCTACTAATAGTTTCTTCACTGTACATATTTTTCGTGTATGTTTTAAAGACCCTGATATATTAAGATTTTTCATTATAATAAAAATATTATGGAATGTATACTAAGAAGCATGCACTTTATAAGTGTTGAACAAATCAGAAAAGTTCTTGTCCCTAGTAGACAGTGTAGATAATAGCCAATGTTTCCTTCAATAAGTGACTTATTCATGAAATACAGAACTAAATTATGGGTTCATACATGCAAGTTTTTTTTAGAAATTTCTAGAAAGTAATTGGCAAGTTCCTGGATTCAGCATCATTTTCTAGCCTATTTCTTGTAATATTGTGGCAGGTTGAACTTTCTGGTGGTAACCACAATAAGTTCTGAGTATATATTAGCCTGTAATCTATATAGATCCTTAATATATATTGCCATAGGTCAAGATATTCATGGTTTTGTGAGATTCAAAGAGAAGGCAGACAAAAATAAATTTCACATTCTGTCACAAGAACCTAATTGCCACTAATAAAATCTGCCATCAAGGTTGTGTGCATGGGTGTGTCTGTTAGGAAACAGTTATAAACATTGAATTCATAGATTTTAACATATTTATTTGTCTTTCAGATTTGTTATCACTTAACATCATGAGATAACATCATGAGATAACATCATGAGATAAAAGGATACGCCAACAACTTCGTGGATGAGTGGAATGAAAATATTTAAACATTTCCAATTTTCTGAAACATCTTGTTTGACTCTCTCCTTTACCTCCTCTCATTCTCTTCCTAACTTTCATAACCTAAAAGGTCATGCTTTTATTCTTATGTGTAAAACCCACCCATGAGGAAAACAGAGACAAGCATTTCAATAAGACTTCTCTGAGTATTCTTTGATTTTATAACAGGAAGGTTCTCTGGAGTACATGTAGAAAAGGGATTCCATTAACCACAATTGCCATAGCTTTGATAAATATTTAGTGGGTAATTATCACAGTTAACATAAATCCAGTCCCAAATGGCTTCCAAATGAAGCGTATTAACTTCTTTATCTCTGGTGTGTCCCACATGGCATTTACAGGTGGTGATACACAACTCTCATCACAGAATAAAGTGTTTTTTATCTACTCCATCAGGTTTACA